GCCGGTATGCAACAGTCGCGGGAGAAACTTGCATCTAATAGGTGCCATGACTGTGATGGGAATGGTGTCGTGCAAGACCAAACGTGGAGCATATCGATGGGAAGACTGCAAGCGGTGGATGCGATCAGTGCTGGATCAACTCCAGCAAAAGGTACCCATGAAGCAGATCACTGTCATTTGCGACAGTGCATAAGAAGAATGCATAAGGAGGATAGGGATTAGACGGGAAAAGAAAGCGAACCTCTATGGTCAACACACAGAGTACACAGCTCAACAGTGCATACATATTAGTTCAGGCATTCTGGACTGATCAGAAGTGACAGCATGATCGCCATGACCTTCAATGTTTCCAACCCTGCGGTCACGGAGCCTTTTGGACCCTAAACTGAAAGAAGACAAACAACTACCCTACCTAAGCGCTCCGTGTATTTCTTCATACCTCGTCTCCACGCCAGGTCTGAGTGTTCGGGGGACATGCGAACAATTCAATCGTCTCAATCTGATACAGCGAAAAGCCGATCGCTTCAAATGTGCAAAAATGCACACGGGGGTTTTCTTCAAACCGAATCGTTTCAGAGTGAAATAAGTAGATCCAGGAAGAGAAGCCAGTGATTAGGCTGCAGTTGCGAAATAAGGGGAAAATGCTTGCGTCCTCAAACCCGCATAGTTAGTTTTTCATCGACGCGTGCTGTCTCGTGTTACGTTGCACACATTCTATGGGGAATTGATGATGAAATCGGATTGTCCAAACCATGTGGAATTTGAAGAATTATCACGTCGTACGACGTTTTATTCAACCCACATTATGTTCCGGATATACTCAGTAATAACTATGCAGAAAGCTGAAAATCCAGCCAACATGGGTGCACAAATCTCCTCTTGGCTTCAATTGATTTGACTGAAAATGAAGTCTTCACTGATGAGTTCATTCCCTAACCTCACAGATGAATTAGTGAAAAAAGCAAGTTTACTGGGCACAACTGAAACCACATTTTATAATTGAAGCACACCACGACGACAATCCCAAAATTCTTGTCTCTTTTTGGATGCTGTGTAACTGTGTTCCTATTCCCCCGGTGACTATAAATGAAGCGACTGTTTACAGTTGCTTTCTACGTTGGTAAATTCAATCAGGATGGTGTGGCTACCCATTCATTATTCGAGTCATGAAAACTTGTCATGATAAACATTTTCACAAAAATGAATTGACTCCACTAAGCGGAAGTGGCTTGCTTTTCGCTGTGTCGGAATAAGGCGATTGAATTCTTCGTATGTTTCAAGAACACTCCAACCTGACGCGTTCGCCGTATCGTCCAAATACAAAGTTACTAGTGTGAGAGGCTTGGCTCGTGTGTCAGCAGGATATCCCCCGTGAACGAATGCATCACACCACCGCAGGTTGCCGAGTCTAGGTGTGGGCTGGAAGCGTCGACAGACAGGATGTTCTTCGTGGAGAGGGGGTTGACTAACAATCTGAAAAGGAGGCAAATGCAGACACCATGAGCCAAGTGGTCCAGTGAGACATGAACACGACTCACACTCAAACGGAATGTCAGGTTGCCAAGATCATCACACCGGCTCACTCCATCCCGGACACAAACGATTCAGGGCATGTGCGTTGTGATCACGCTTTGTAAATTGATCCAATTTCGTCGACTAAAAGAGCGAATGAACCGCATCTGAAAGTTCCACTCAGCAGTGCGTTTACGGCTGAGTGAATCAACCGGTCTTTCGTTTTATTCTACACAGGCATGACATGTGTAATTCCAATTTCACTCAGTGAGTAAACTGACACCCCATGAAAAGAGTTTCACACCCCCTCCGTATTTTCACACTACCTACCCTCCTGGGTGTAACACGATAAACATTCGGGGATATAATCACAACAACCAAATTCAAAACCTGACTGCGATTTTTCGAATTCTTGGTTTTCATTGAAAAGAAAATGTGATCGAAAGTGCAAAAAAATAACGCTGTGACACACGCTTTGCTTGGGTTCATTCGAATGGATTGGGTTATTATGTGGTGACGGGACGTTAACACACCTTTTGGACATTCTCCGAATGGCCCTGCAGCATTAGCTCCTAAGGGCGTGAATAAGCTTCTCCTACAGCCGACTCAACTCATGGAAGGAAAGTGCCAGCGTTTGAATTTTAATCCTTTCAACCCACGGCGTATTACGATGACCCTATACAGTGCGATTGCTCCATAGTTTTCGTTCGTCTCGTCCCTCTCTCCCGTGACCTTAAATTTCCTCTGACCTCTAATGCGATCTGATTGGATCATATTCCGCGATCTGCGTTGCTTAAAATCTCTCACCCCAACACGAGACTGTCTGATTACCGACTTGTACGTTTTGTAATGCTCTTGTTGTTACGTCCAGTCTATCCTCCCGACACACAGTCGAAGTTCACTGGGCCTGCCTGAGACTCACAGCCGTAAAAAAAGGTGTGGTTTCTCGCTCGGGTTAGCTGGGCAAGCACCGATCGATAAATGAACCCGATCGGTCGTGTGATTTTCGGGCCGGCAAAGGAGGAGGATAGGTTCCGAATCCAATGCAGNCCAATGCAGCCTGTGTTGGTAGAGAATCACCCCAAGAGAATCAGTTGTGGAGCGGTGCGCCATGTGGGAAATTCCGAATGGAAAATGCTCAAGCAATGATGACACTGAACCAACGCTTGACTCGTCTAAGATACACGCACTATTTTTCGAAGCGGGTTCGGTAAACAGATAATCATAATAAAACGTTGAACTTGTCTTAATAACGGACAACAATATCCCCTAATGTGGGCCCAAGCAAAGCTCTTCTTGATTTTTTTCCCAACTGGTTGTTTCTGCGTTGAGCGATCTCGCTAACTGCCTCAGAGATAGAATTCCGAAAGAAAGAAAGAAAGAAAAAATATTATGGGAATAATTATATTCATACCATAAAAGATGTTCCACATGTTTTCCATTCTGCTGCTTGCATAGCAAAACCCGGTGAAGATAGTTTTCTTCCACCTTCAGAATGGTAGCAGTTGGAATACTTTCACACTGCGCCACAATGCTCTGTTTAGGTTCCTCGATGGTTCTCGGTTTTCGGGAATGAACCATTCGCTTCAGATATCCCCACAAAAAGAAATCCAAAGGGGAACAGATCAGGTGATCTTGGAGGCCATTCCTTTCGCCCTCCTCGACCAATCCATCTGCAGTTAAATTCCGTGTCGAGGACACTTCTCACCACCAGAGCATTGTTTGGCGATGCACCGTCATGTTGGAACCGAACTGTAGTACTTCTTCAATGGAAACGTTACAGGTAAGAACAATTTTGCTTATTAAATTGTTTAAGGCGCTTCATACTTGCAAATGTTACAAGATGATGTGGTACCTGCCATCAGGTGTATAGAAATTGAAGTTGGTACGACAGTTTGGTTCCAACATGACAGTACACCGCCACACAATGCTCTGGTGGTGAGAAGTGTCCTCGACACGGAATTTAACTGCAGATGGATTGGCCGAGGAGGACGAAAGGAATGGCCTTAGGAGGCGGCCATCTGCTACCGTTAGTTGCATTATTCGGCCGTATTCTATGCAGGTAGTGACTCACGCCTGACCAGAAGGTGATTACTGTTCGGGTTAAGATGGGACCCACATCTGATCCAGATCTCCCCCACCCCCAAACACCGGAAAACATTTGAACATTCGCAGGCCGTATCGTAATTCGAGACTATATGGATCGAAGGCCGTCTTAAAACGGGAACGGTTGTTTTCGCGTACGAGGGGTGTCCCGGAACCGCTCAAAAGGTAGGCCCAAAACGTTCTAAAGATGGACGAGGGGCCATTCCACGTAATATTAATCTTCCTTATTTACATGAAACTCCAGCTTGGGTGTGTGTGTGACAGTTTAGCTGAGGCATTCCATACCTTTTGCAAGTCAAGTTTTCCCAGTATCATATCAGGATGTCCTCGGATTATTTCAAACTGTCGCGTTGACCTCACCGGTGCTGACAAGCCTCCCAGCGGTCTGAATGACTACCATGCCACACCGATTTCTCTACCTCACGCTGAGGTGCTGTAGACGATTGTGAGACGGGATTCGGTCACCACCTCAATTCCCATGACACATATCGGTTGTTTATCTTGCTAGTACGCGTATGCCTCTGCATGCCCCCCTCCGCTGATACCAGTGAATCATACGCGATCAACCGTCGCTTACCTCCATCGCATGATGCTGCAATAGAATCCACAAGCTACACTTCAAGCGGTTGCACTGGGACACCAATAGATCATGCTCGATCGATATGCCCATCAGTATTGACCAGATTCACATCCAGTTTGTTCGACACTTTCAGGTCATAATCCATCTCTGTGAAACCATCACAGAAGTACCTTCAAACACTAAACAATCAAAATGACCATTTTGGTCTTATTTTCGGAACGGAATGAGATATCTCTATCAAGTCAACTGCAATAGAAATAACGTAACGAGGGCTGTCGAAAGATGCCATAATTTTCGTAAGAGTTACGGAAATGCTAGTTTAAAAATTGGAATCGCGATCGCTTCGGCTGTTGACAGTAAGCGATGCTTGACCTGCTTCAAACTCATCCTGGTGATCGTGTGGATGGGTCTGACAGCTTCAGTCTATCGGAATTCTGTAGTGGATTAAAGAGAACTGGATTGCAGGCAACAGATAAATATTTTCTCTTATGTTACAGTTTTCAGTCTTTATTGCGATGCATGATATCCATCGTAAATTCGCAATCACCGGTTCTTCACTATGGATCCTACTTGGGCAATTTTATTGTTACTGTAAACAATGCGTACCAGACTGATCCTAACGAATTCGGGATGGTAGAGTAATAAAGTGTCCAAGATAATCATCACACTAACCCGGAGGTCTTGAGTTCAAATACCCCGTCATCCACGGAATTTTCCCCTACTCTGTGTATGCCCTTTGACTGGCTTCATTCAAGCCGGCTCTTCATTGAAGGTTGGTCATGCTGTTGGTTACAATAAACGGAGACGACGAAGTCTATTACTGCGTCCGAGGAGTAGGCCAATCTATCAACCCATTACGCGCATCCTCCGATGTGCTCTTAAACTCTTTTTCTGGATGTAGATAATTTTGCTCTCATCCGAAGTGGCAGTATCGTAACTTTGATGTTGCGCCTTTCTATTGACTGAACACTAACTAGCCGCAATATGTACAGTGCACACAATGACTATCGTATACCAGCTCTTTGTGATCACAGGATTCACAGATTGGCCGTCGTATAAAAAGACAGAAGATAATGAAAAGCTACTCCGTTTATTAAAATCCATATTTCATTTTATGCCGATGTTTTTTGATTTATCATACATCAGGTGTTGATCGAACTCAAAAGACAAATATTTTAAATAGCACACATATTTTCCGATGATACAAAGTAAATACTACCTATGAATTATAAAGTTTAACATAAATGAACTGAAAAATTTTCACATAAAATTTCATCACAAATAGCGAGAGAGTATAGCCTGAGAAACAAAAAAAATAGACCTCGAGATGTGCATCTCATTGAATAATCCTTTGGTAATGTCACTATGCCCAAACAGAATGAAGCATCCGAGAATTTTTGGTCTAAAAATAAAGACGAGAGCTAACGTATTCGAGAGGCACAGAAATCCAACGCCTCAGTCTCTAGTTTGTGCAAACGACCAAGTGCTCAAAAATAAAGGAGGGCAAACGGGGTATTGATGAAATGAAAGCACATTACCTGTATAAGGGCTGAGTTGTTTTTATAAATGAATTATCATGATTTTCTACTGAGGTTTCGGTGTCTTACCCGTGATACACCAGCAACCGTCCTCCAAATTGAGAAATCATGCGTTAAAATGGCTTTCGACTAATAGGAGAAACAATATAAGTGGATACTATCACAGATATGTGGCATCTTATGTGGGCTGTTATCATCTTCAATCCCATGAATGAATCTCAAAACACTAGGCGTCAAGGGGAATAGATCTGATGAAAGTCATGGTGTCTCTTGAGTTCGATTATTACCTGGGTGCTGCATAAACCGTTGTATCCTCAGGCGTTAAATTCAAATACTGATACAGGCAGATCAATATAAAAGACAAAAGTAGACAATCGGCATTTCGACCGTATCTCGTGCACTGAACATTTCACAACCTCCAGTGGTTTGAGGATTCTTTTTCAAATCGACCAATCCACTTTTATAATTCATCTGTCTTTATTCCTGCAACAGCTTCTCCGGGTATTCTGCGTCACTCATCGTCTCAGTCACGAATCGATGTCAATCGGGGACAGGATTTACGTCTGCAGTGTTTGGCCACCGCCAATCCGGAACCCGTCTACCAATGGTTAAAAGACGAGACCCCATTGACCATGCGTGTGCTAGCTCTCGGAGATGACGTGGTGGACAGCAAATCTGTACGCACCAATACCACAGGTATTAGTACAAGGTTTTCCATCCATGACAACGGGCGATTGCTGATTGTTCAGAATGTACAACCAGAGGATGCTGGACGATACACTTGTGTGGCTAGCAATCCAGTCGGAGAGGATCGGTTGGAAATTGCTGTCACTGTGTCCTGTGAGTGAAAAAAAAATAATTTTACAGCAGATATGTTCGTTATATGGTTCGATTAGTATATGTGTAGCTCAATGAGAATGAAGTAATCATTGGTCCCCGTAATTGATCCAAACACTGCATTCCAGTGGTTGTGGGAAGATGAAACGACATCGCCAAAGAACACTCAGTCAAACAATATTAACTGAATAAATTTTTGACCACCTCGCAGAGTAGAATGAGCCAAGCGAAATCTCACGAGGATGGTAGACATGGATACACATGTACTAACGTACATACATACATACATACTTACTTACTTAGCGGTAAAAATTGAAATCTAACCTATCGGATGGGATGTTTTTCGAAATTTAGCGTCAGTTCACACTTTATTTTAACCCCGAGTAGTTTCGAATCTGTGAGGAAGTACACATCTAACCATATTAAACTTTTGGTTTTCCATTTGGTTCACTTAAAGCGGTAGATTATCTTTCGCCGATGGAACACGAGAATGTGATTTACTCCTGATTTTGTGATAACTTCGAGTGATTGAGTTATTCCGATTGCATGGTTATGTACCCTTCACCGTTGTGGGTCGTTGTAATGATTTAACTGAAAATCATCAACACTCGAGATGAAATAGTTTTACTACAACCAAATAGTCCCAATTCGTGACCAACTTTGTTTCAATCACTCTATTTGTAAAACGTAAACAAACAGTGGGTGCAAATTTATCCGCAAAACTCACTGTCTTGATTTCACGGTTCACACATTTGTGCTAACTGAAAGATGTACTTTAACTTGTAGCCCATAAACCTTGCATTTCAGTTGTCAGAAGGGCACTCAGAAACCTGTAGTTCGGACCAATCAGATCAACTACCGCACACACTTTAGTGAAAGCCCTGCCAACGTGTTCCTTTTTTAAACACATAACTTGGATATTTACTCTTTTTTAAAAAGACCATTTATACAACCGGGACTGAACACATTTTTCGCCGTCCACTCCTCCTCTGTTTATTCCTCATCCCATTGTTTGTTTTTTTGAACCAAACGCAATAAACCTGGTAACAGCTGCGCCAAACTTCCCCGATGGTGAGGACCACGAATCCCCAGTCATGGAACGAGGCAAGGCAAATTCCCTGTGGTGCAATGCAACCGGTTATCCGGATCCTGAAATTCGTTGGGAATATGTAAGTGTTCTGTTAGAGACTCGAGGGTAGTTGCTCATACATGGGCAGACCACCCTTAAATTGTCGAAAACGTGAGGACCTCAACACACCAAAACAAATCACGAACAATCTGTCTAATCGTTCAAACCTGTGCTTACAATTTCCCAATTACATCCAGATGCATTCAGACGACCTGATTTTTGTAAACGGTATCCAGTTGACCCACATTCGTATTCCATTCGTGTGACTGCCTCACTAGTAGAGTCCTGTGACAAACGAGGGAGCATCATGATGAAGGATATTTTGTTAGCTGTGAAGAAACCCCTTTCCAACTGCACCAACCTACAAACATGAATGCGCCAGGAACCTGTTCCCCTGTTCAGAATGTAAACCAATACGAGGGGTTCAGATGCTCATCGGTTTCACTACCGTGG